TATTAATATTACATGTATTTTCTTGGATTCATCATGTTTTATCTATAGCTGTGCTATAGTTTCTCATTAAAATGTCTTTTCTGTTGTCGGTATTGAAGTAAGTCCCACACAGAGCTGGGATCATATGTCTTTGAAATATATATGCAAACGTCTGGAACCTTGTGTTCCAATACAAGCGTTCGTAGCGCTACGACATTCGCATGCCTATGATAAACTATAGAGTTGGCCTCAACCATTGACTGGATTACATTCTCTTCGTCAGCAGAGAAATTTCGACTTCTCTTTTTCCTTGGGGTGCAGGCGACATTTCGCGATTCCATTTTTGGTAATCCGGAAGTAAACAGAAAACGGAATTGTGGGATATATGAAAGCTAACCAGTGACGTAAACCACACTGTTAAACTTTGACGGCGACGTTACCTAACGGCATGACTAACCATGTTTTGAACAACGCATATTTAACGTTCGGTTACCTAACGGTCGGTTAAGGATTTAATCGGCCGTTAGGAGTTAACCGGCGGTTAAGATAAGCGAGTACATTTGTATTGAACAACCGGGCCCTGGTGGGTAATGCACAACCCTTACGATTTGCTGCTGGGGTGAATGAGATCCAATGGCAAAGTTGGAACCACATATTTTATGAAAGAACCAAACACGTGTATATTGCTTTTGCTCTAAAAATGTTACACGTTCACACCAGAAACCACATATTATATGGTCTCTTTTCAGACTGACATGTGTCCCAAATGACGACAAAAATGTGAAACTGCAACATGCAACGTGATTGGTTAACTAAGCAAAACCGACCAATCGGAACCAATTTTGCTAAGCGCTTCGATTTTCCTCATTACACCGATTTGTAGGTTTTGCACTGTCATAAAAGTCACGAGCTGAGTTCTGAGTACTCAAAATAACAAAAACTCGTTTCGGCGAGAATAGGTGTAATGTTGTTTTTCAAAGACCTACTTAGTTCGGAGATGTGCTTGAGTTGCCAAGCGAAAACAAACCCATAATACCTTTCAGATTTACAGTTATGGATGCGCCGACACGACCCTTCCATGTTAAAAGTTAATGCGCGAATGGCTCAAGGGCGCGGCCTACAATGAACACTGCCGGTGCTCCTGTGTATGCTGTTTGTCAGTCTCAAGACAGGGGAATAGCATTTATTTTCAATTTATTTTTTCATTTATGTTTTAGAGCTTTTAGAAAATTAGTCATTATGATCCAGTTCTGTTATCTGATGGTTAAAACATATTCATATCAATGAGCATTTGAACGGAAACCATATCTGGTCCCCAGTACAATGTGTTTGCTGTGGCGTCAGACTGCTCTGGATTGGGTGGTTCGTGCCATCAACCACCTGTCCAGATTTCTTAGAACTGATTATTTATCAACCTTATAAAGCTTGACCATCTGGTAAGAATATGAGTGATAATAGCTGACTTCACCAATGAAACAACTGAAATAGCTGACTTTATCCATGAAACAACTGAATTCACCCATTAAATAACTGAAACAGCGGACTTTGCCCATGAAATAACTGAAATAGATAATTTTGCTCATGGAATAACTGAAATAGCTGACTTCACCCATGAAACAACTGAATTCACCTATAAAATAACTGAACTAGCCAACTTCACCCATGAAATAACTGAAATAGCTCACTTCCCACATGAAACAACTAGAATAGCGGACTTCACCCATGAAATAACTAGAATAGCGGACTTCACCCATGGAACAACTGCAATAGCTAACTTCACCCATGAAACAACTAGAATAGCGGACTTCACCCATGAAATAACTGAATTCACCCATTAAATAACTTAAACAGCTGACATTACCCATGAAACAACTGAAATAACTGACTTTACCCATGAAACAACTGAAATAGCTGACTTATATCAAAACACCAGATGGCGAAGTCAGTATAGATTTGTCGAGTGCGCCAAGCTAATAACTGTTCTGCTTGGGGAAATGGCTTCTCATATTAGATTACAGGTATGACTGCTTTAAAAAGTGATTCAATATCAACATCGAAATAGAGACTTGGGTTTTACAACGCTTTTAATAATATACCAGCAATATCACGGCGGAGGACACCAGAAATGGACTCTTAGTACCCATGTGGGGGAATCAAACCCAGGTCTTCGGCGTGACGAGTGAACGCTTTAACTACTGGGCTACCCAACCGCCCCTCAGTATCGAAATAGCAAAAACACGGAAGATTAATTGTATCTGCGGATATTGAACTCAGTATCGACAATCTGTCACTGGACCGGTAACAATACAAACCATTTCTGTCAATAAAGACAAGATAAAGACAATCAGTACAGACATATCGACATTTTCGACCTTGCAAGCGTAAAAAACAGATGTTATATTTTATTTTTGTTTGTTTCTTGTTTCCCGCCGCACTCAGCAATATGGCTGCGGGCTGTAAATAATCGAGTCTGACCAGACAATCCGATGATTAACATCATGAGCATCGATCTACACAATTGGGCTACGATGACACGTGTCAACCAAGTCAATGAGCCTTAGCACCCGATCCCGTCAGTCGCATCTTAAGACAATCTGTGGTGTATTGGTAACATGTACACAGTGTTTGTGACTTATAAGTGACAATCAAAACACTTTGCTTTACGGAAAATAGTATATCGAAACACCAGATGTGTAAGTAAGTTTATTTGGCTGACTGCGCCATGAAAGAAGCTGATGGTTCTCCAAGTAGTGACTGACCTTCACATAGCTGACTGACCTTCACATAGCTGACTGACCTTCACATAGCTGTCTGACCTTCACATAGCTGTCTGACCTTCACATAGCTGACTGACCTTCACATAGCTGACTGACATTCACATAGCTGACTGACCTTCACATAGCTGTCTGACCTTCACATAGCTGACTGACCTTCACAAAGCTGTCTGACCTTCACATAGCTGACTGACTTTCACAAAGCTGACTGACCTTCACAAAGCTGTCTGACCTTCACATAGCTGACTGACCTTCACAAAGCTGTCTGACCTTCACATAGCTGACTGACCTTCACATAGCTGACTGACCTTCACATAGCTGACTGACCTTCACATAGCTGTCTGACCTTCACATAGCTGACTGACCTTCACAAAGCTGTCTGACCTTCACATAGCTCACTGACCTTCACATAGCTGACTGACCTTCACAACGTTGTCTGACCTTCACATAGCTCACTGACCTTCACATAGCTGACTGACCTTCACATAGCTGACTGACCTTCACATAGCTGTCTGACCTTCACATAGCTGTCTGACCTTCACATAGCTGACTGACCTTCACATAGCTGTCTGACCTTCACATAGCTGACTGACCTTCACATAGCTGACTGACCTTCACATAGCTGTCTGACCTTCACATAGCTGTCTGACCTTCACATAGCTGTCTGACCTTCACATAGCTCACTGACCTTCACATAGCTGACTGACCTTCACATAGCTGACTGACCTTCACATAGCTGACTGACCTTCACATAGCTGTCTGACCTTCACATAGCTGTCTGACCTTCACATAGCTGACTGACCTTCACATAGCTGACTGACCTTCACATAGCTGACTGACCTTCACATAGCTGACCTTCCTTCACATACATAGCTGTCTGACCTTCACACAACTGTCCGACCTTCACATAGCTGTCCGACCTTCACATAGCTGTCTGACCTTCACATAGCTGACTGACCTTCACATAGCTGTCTGACCTTCACATAGCTGACTGACCTTCACATTGCTGACTGACCTTCACATAGCTGACTGACCTTCACATAGCTGTCTGACCTTCACATAGCAAACAGAACATACGTGGACACACGGTGTCAAGCGTTGCAGGGAAAGCCTTGTAGGATTGTGGCACCAGCAATATCACAATCAAATCCACAATTTGGCAATGACACACCAGCGAATGACTAAGCGTCATATTTTTGGCTTCATGGGCATTCCCAATGAAATAGTTAGCACTGAAACCTTAGCACTGAAGGAAGCATCAGCTTTGGGGTTTCGAAACTTCTGATATCAGATATAAAACCCAAGTCTCGTGAGACCTGGCCCTGGGGATGTTTTCGAGGACTACAACGAAATTGGAATAATATTCCCCCAAACCCGTCGGCACATTCCATCTAAGTGGAAGAGGAGTATGTCAATGATGAAATTTATCAAATGAACTTAGGCCGAGTCTTTCTCCGTAAGGTTCAAACCTCCCTTGTATTTAAGTTAGATCACGGTAACTTTAAGGATACCGTGATGTCGCACATCTCATATGCCTACCAGTCTGGCAAAATACACGAACACGGGTATGGAGCTGTCAAACTAAGATTCGAAATCACGATCATAGGTTTTGGGCACGTCTAAGGGACGCAACTCAGTAGTGAGTGAGTGAGTTTGGTTTTACGCCGCTTTTAGCAATATTCCAGCAATATCACGGCGGGGGACACCAGAACGCAACTCAGTACATGTACTTGAGACGGTTTGACAAACTGGCTATATATGCCCAAGTTTGAGGGGAAACAGAGAGTGAGCATTGTTTCAGGAACATTCAGCAATATTCCAGCTATGAAGCTGCGGTCTGTAAATAATCGAATCTGGACCAGACAACCCAGTGATCAAAATCATGAACATCGATCTACGCAATTGGGATACGATGACATGTCACAACCAGGTCTGTATCCATGCAGGTAATGGAGTCCGCAGTGATGAACGAAAGGTTTTAACTTAACTTCTTCACCACCTTCTCTCCTGATGGGGCGGTGGGGTAGCCTAATGGTTAAAGCGTTCGCTCGTCACGCCGAAGACCCGGGTTCGAATCCCCACATGGGTACAATGTGTGAAGCCCATTTCTGGTGTCCCCCGCCGTGATGTTGCTGGAATATTGCTAAAAGCGGCGTAAAACCAAACTCAGTCAGTCAGTCAGTCAGTCAGTTTCTCCTGACGATAACCAATTTTTTTCAAAAGACTAAACAGGAACGAATTCCTTACTTTCACATTGGCCACTGACACCTTCCCACACTCCACTACTACCACACGTGGCAACGTTGTCGCTGCTGCTGAAGTTGTACCCAGTGTTGCAGAAGAAGATGGCGTTTTCACCGTACGTTGTGAGGTTGAAGGATCGATTGCCATGCAGGAGATGGGCAGGTTCATCACAATCAATTACTGAAAATAGATATTTTAGTGTTTGAAGCATAATATTGAGTACACAATGATGACTTCCCAACCATCCATAGTCTGTTACATACACTAGAGCATATTTTTATGACTTCTTCATTGATCTTTTGAATGGGTCGATGGTTCACACTGAAAAGGTTATTCAAGTGTTTTCCTGACAACATAATGGTAATTGAAGTGTTTGTCTTCTCTCCAGAGATTCTGAAAGGAAAATTAACAAATTTCCTTGCAGCACTGAACATTTTATTTTTAATCTTTTTATTACTGAAATTAGTTATCTGTTTGTATCTCTTTAATACGATGCATCATATGGCGGCAGACACTTTGCTCGTCAAAACAAATTTAAATCAAATCATTTCTAATAAATTCCTTCGCTGTTTCGCAGCTTTTTGCCATGATCCGAACTCCTTTTAATCTTAAGTACTTACAAAGTAATTTTGTACACACATACTAGGGGGTCAGCAATTTTGTACATAAGAATATGTTTAAAATTATGCTTAGAAATTATGGGGAGGGAGGGTCATTGATTGTACATGACAAACAGGGGGTCTCTTATTTTGTACATCAATTTTTTTTTTTTAGGGGGGCATTCACATTGTACATGCTTTCTCCATAAAAATCATCATCACTCCCCCTAGCCATAAATTATGCACGGTCCCTTAGGTATTTCGTTCGAGTTGGATAAACAGGACAGATTCAAAGGAAATATAATTCATCCTCTACAGTTTTAAAGTTACATAATTGACATATTCTGTTTTCTCTTAGTTATTAGGAATTAACTCCCTTATATACTGATATGATAAACAACGTAAATGCGTGCAGTAGCCTTTTAATTCTCAAACCAGGTCCGCAATACAAGAGCTTCTTTCTGACACGTCACCATTCTGTGCGGATCTGTTGTCGGCCATTTGTGCTCTTGTTTTCAAAATGGCGAGTCAACCGCCATCGGTAGTCATTATTGGATAGTATTGAAATATTGGAAGGTAAGATGTATTTGGAATGAATAGTCCAAATAGACAAAGTAGATAACAGATTTCTGTGATTTGCAAATGTTACTTTAGAACCAGTGATACAAGGTCAGCGTAACTGTGGCCTTCTTTAAATAGTGCACAGTGCATTTAAGTTACAGGTTATGTTAACTGATCTTTAAAAAAGGACACAACCCTTATGTACTTTTGACAAACCTGTCACTGAAAAGCCACGGCCTCTGCAAGCATCGTGGCATCCTAAAAGTTACAATGAACTGAGTATTGTGTCGAAAGCACTCATTGTCTCGTCACCTTGAGCCTAGCATTACAAATTGGAGTAACGCCCCTCGGACCAAGAGGTCAGTCGTAAGAAAGGTCGACCTAGTGTCAACCGATGCAATCAGGTGTCGTAAACCTTTTGTTTAGATAATCGATAACCTAACCAGTTTTTAATAATATATAGACCATCTCCAGACTCGTATGAAATTACACAGCGAACAAAACGAAGCTGGATTTGGGTTTTTATGTGTAACGCCGCACTCAGCAATATTCCAGTTATACGGCGGTGTCTGTAAATTATCGAGTCTGGACCAGACAACCCAGTCATCAACAGCATGAGTATCGATATTTGGGATACGATAACATGTGTCAACCAAGTCAGCGACCATGACCACACAATCCCGTTAGTCACCTCTTACGACAAGCCTGGGTTGCTGAAGACCAATTCTAACCCGACATGACTCGCCTTGTGGTCTCAACGCACCTTCACTTTACCGAGTTTGAAGCTAATTTTACTGTGATGACTGTGCATATAAATGGCATCATGGATATAACGAGTGTGACAGAATGAAATGATTCCAACTAAATTTCACATTAGAGTGAAATCATCCCGGGATAACCAATCCCCTTAGGATAAAATGACTCAATATTCAATATATATATTTGGAAATAATATTGCTTAAAATGATACAAAATGCCACACAAAATATCAACATGGGTGTTACCATTGGACTGGGTGTGACTGGCGTCCACATGTTATATTGATATACTGTTTGTTTACCTTGGGTTTCGTTCTGATTTGGCCCGTGGGAGTGACCCTATGCCCCTAACCCGACATCGTGTCAATCATGATATGGTATCGAATTACACTTGGCGCCTTTTGCCAGGTTGCACCTGGAGAGAATGTTGAGTGTCTTTGACGGATTTTTCATCCACGAAAGTCATTTCAACAACCACTGTCTTTTTTTCAAATCTCGGTACTGTACGAATTTTAAGTGGGGTATATGTATATTACTACATTCGCCCCCATCGTTCACCTTCGATCGTTAGGTAATGAAGACGTAATAAAAACGGTGCCTGACGGGAACTCGTTTAATGTTTTAAAAATCTACTAGAAACAGACAATGTAAAGTTCACTTTGGCATTTTCCGCTGAAGCCCCTCCACTGTCCAAGAGCGCCGCATACTGCGATGTTGCTGTTGCCGCTGAAGTTGTAACCGACGTCACAGTTGTAGATGAGGACCGAGTTAAATTTTGTGTCCGTATAAGTAAAGTTTCCGTTTTCGAGGGCGTCCGGAGTAGAGCATTCTGCTTCTGGAACTAAGATATGAACAGAATTAACAGAATTGTACTCCCTAGGTAACAGATGCTCCGAACTGGATGTTTGCGTATGTATAACAATGGCCCAAACCTATAACAACGCACCACAAATGAAAACATCTTCGCCTAGATGGGTCGTGAAGTTTAAATTCAAATTTCACAAACCTACACCTTCTTTTCCTCTGTAGACTGACATTTAGTGCATCAAATAGAGTGACTGAGTTCGTATAGTTTTCGCCGTTTTTAGCAATATTTCAGCAATACCACGGCGGGGGACACCAGAAATGGGCTTCACACATTGTACCCATGTGGGGATTCGTCATGTGTCGCTTCAGCCACCCGCCTACCCACTCTCCTAGCCAGAGTTCCATGCGGCAAGCCAGCATAGTATCTCTGCCACAGGCCAGAAAAATGTGACGATTCGTCACATCTTGCACCGTCCATTCAATATAATTTAAATATTTCTCAACTCTTTTATTTTTGACGAGTCTACACAACTAATTAAACATCTTTGATAGAATGGCTTAGTTTCACTGAGAAAATATCCTAAAACATGTAACACTATTTCGATTTGCGTAGCGATCCTTTGTTTACATAGGTTGTACGGCTCCACGTGCTGTCATCGAAGCTGATGGAGAGCAAAGGATGCAGCCAGTTTGATATCTAAATATGTACTGTCATAGATCTTACTGTCGCAGTTGTGGAAGAATATATATGTAACAATGTAAAACAATATGAAGAGAGTGCCGAAAAGCTTTCGTGAGTCCAGTTTCTTCTTATTATGAATATGCGCGTTTGATTACAAACAAGAGAAAAGTCCGGTCACGTGATATGCAAATTAGCCTGTGGCAGTGATGTTATGTTAAGTCATCGCTGTGCTGGAGTGTGTCGCCTACCGGTAACATCTGCAATTCATACAATTTCACAAGTAGTTCGATCGACACGATTTACTCCAGTTGTTAGCATTATCATGGTTGCATTCGCACAATTGAGTCTATAAATAACTGTCGAAACTTGGCAATTTACCAAACTCAACGAACACCGGACGGTGCAACCGAACTATCTAAACTTAATAGTATCGTCATTGCAGATTTGATATCTCATTTTTTAACTCAAAAGTAGCCTCTAGGAAGATTTCTTTTGGTCTCAAAGATAAAACCAACCTTGACGAACACCGGAACACATAATGGTCCACGTGTAACCTAACTATCGAAAACGTAACAATATCATCATTTCAGATCTGACTTCTCATTCCTGACTCAAAAGATGATCTAAGGAGATGCTTTCATCTTGAAGATAAAACCAACCTAGTAGAAAACCAGGCTGTAGAACACCTAATGGTGCAACCGAACTATCGAACAATCTTGAAGTTGGATAAAACCAATAGCAGGCTGTAGAACACCTAATGGTGCAATCGACCTATCGAACTATCTTGAAGTTGGATAAAACCAACCTACTAGAATACCAGGCTGTAGAACACCTAATGGTGCAATCGAACTATCGAACTATCTTGAAGTTGGATAAAACCAACCTACTAGAATACCAGGCTATAGAACACCTAATTGTGCAACCGAACTATCGAACATTCTTGAAGTTGGATAAGACCAATAGCAGGCTGTAGAACACCTAATGGTGCAATCGACCTATCGAACTATTTTGAAGTTGGATAAAACCAACCTACAAGAATACCAGGCTGTAGAACACCTAATGGTGCAATCGACCTATCAAACTATCTTGAAGTTGGATAAAACCAACCTACTAGAATACCAGGCTGTAGAACACATAATGGTGCAACCGAACTATCGAACAATCTTGAAGTTGGATAAAACCAAAAGCAGGCTGTAGAACATCTAATGGTGCAATCGAACTATGTTGAAGTTGGATAAAACCAACCTACTAGAATACCAGGCTATAGAACACCTATTGGTGCAACCGAACTATCGAACAATCTTGAAGTTGGATAAAACCAATAGCAGGCTGTAGAACACCTAATAGTGCAATCGAACTATCGAACTATTTTGAAGTTGGTTAAAACCAACTTACTAGAATACCAGGCAGTAGAACACCTAATGGTGCAACCGAACTATCGAACAATCTCGAAGTTGGATAAAACCAACCTACTAGAATACCAGGCTGTAGAACCAGCCTAGAATACCAGGCTGTAGAACACCTAATGGTGCAATCGACCTATCGAATTATCTTGAAGTTGAATAAAACCAACCTACTAGAATACCAGGCTGTAGAACACCTAATGGTGCAATCGACCTATCGAATTATCTTGAAGTTGGATAAAACCAACCTACTAGAATACCAGGCTATAGAACACCTAATGGTGCAACCGAACTATCGAACAATCTTGAAGTTGGATAAAACCAATAGCAGGCTGTAGAACACCTAATGGTGCAATCGACCTATCGAACTATCTTGAAGTTGGATAAAACCAACCTACTAGAATACCAGGCTATAGAACACCTAATGGTGCAATCGACCTATCGAACTATCTTGAAGTTGGATAAAACCAACCTACTAGAATACCAGGCTGTAGAACACCTAATGGTGCAATCGAACTATCGAACTATCTTGAAGTTGGATAAAACCAACCTACTAGAATACCACTAGAATACCAGGCTATAGAACACCTAATGGTGCAATCGAATCGAACTATCTTGAACTATCTTGAAGTTGGATAAAACCAACCTAACTAGGCTGTGAACACCTAATTGTGCAATGCATACAAACTATCTTGAAGTTGGATAAAACCAATAACAGGCTATAAGAACACCTAATTGTGCAATCGAACTATCAAACTATCTTGAAGTTGGATAAAACCAATAACAGGCTGTGGAACACCTAATGGAGCAATCGACCTATCGAACTATCTTGAAGTTGGATAAAACCAATAACAGGCTGTAGAACACCTAATTGAGCAATCGACCTATCGAACTATCTTGAAGTTGGATAAAACCAATAACAGGCTGTGGAACACCTAATTGAGCAATCGACCTATCGAACTATCTTGAAGTTGGATAAAACCAATAACAGGCTGTGGAACACCTAATTGAGCAATCGACCTATCGAACTATCTTGAAGTTGGATAAAACCAATAACAGGCTGTGGAACACCTAATTGAGCAATCGACCTATCGAACTATCTTGAAGTTGGATAAAACCAATAACAGGCTGTGGAACACCTAATTGAGCAATCGACCTATCGAACTATCTTGAAGTTGGATAAAACCAATAACAGGCTGTGGAACACCTAATTGAGCAATCGACCTATCGAACTATCTTGGATAAAACCAATAACAGTTGGAACACCTGGTTGATAAACCAATAACAGGCTGTAGAACACATAGTGGTGCAATCGAACAATCGAAAACGTAGCAGTATCGTCATTTCAGATCTGACCTCTCATTCTTGACTCAAAATAAGCCTCATCTTGAAGATAAAACCAACCTCGACAGAGGACTGTGGAACACATAAAAGTGAAACCAACCTTCACCGAAGAAAAAAAATATCCTTCTCATATCTATCAGAATAAACCGCTTGAAAAATACCCAAGAGTAACAATGAAACTACATTAATCTTCTGTATGGTTGATGATTAGCTATTAGAAAATCAGACGCCATTCAATGACAACAGGGTGTATTGATTTGGACGTAATTAGTATTGATACAGCTTGTGGTTTTAGAAGAAGCTCCTATAGAAAGTAGAAAACTATGAATAATACATGTGGTAAATGTGTTTCTTTCTTCCTGATACGTTTTTTTGGAGCTTTTATCAATTTTCCAGTAATATCGAGTATAGGTCGCTAGAAATGGGCTTCACACATTGTAACAATATTGAGAATAGAACCCGGGTCTTTGGTGTGACGAACAAACGCTTTAACCCCACTAGCCTATCCCAGAGCCGCTACAATTATATAGCTAATACCATCACCATCACCATCATCATCATCATCATCATCATCATCATCACCATCATCACCGTCACCGTCACCGTCACCGTCACCATCATCATCACCATCATCACCGTCACCGTCACCGTCACCGTCACCGTCACCGTCACCATCACCATCACCATCATCATCATCATAATCATCATCACAATCACCATCACCATCACCATCACCATCACCATCACCGTCACTATCATCATCAACGATACGTTCTCAAAAGACTCCTGAAGATCCGGGTTAGATGTCGTCTTCAGCAACCCATGCTTGTAAGAGGCAACTTTGGTTAAAAGCCAAACGGTAAAACCGCTATTGTATCTTTGGATTGCCTGGTCCAGGTTCGACTGTGATCTGTATTTCGCGGTATTTCTTTTCTGCTGAGTGCAGCGTCATGCACAACAACTGTGTGAGGAGCTGGTGTTATCTCTTGAGCAGGATACGCTTACCAAGATCGCTCAGTTCACTTAGCGCCCCTCTACACTTTTCATTCTGGCTTGTCGGCCCCTCAGTTTCAGTTCTTTGTCAGTAGGCTTTGGCTGGATGAATTGTCTTATTCTCCACCATTGAATCTTATACCCTAACCATGCGTTAACTTGATATATGTCTCCTATGTATTTGCAAGCTTATTAACCAGTTGAAAGTGCTTTAGATGTCTGAATGTATCTGACAAGTGGAATGCAATGTATTGTACTCACCGATACCAAGACACCTGTATCCAGAAGGAGGTGTAACGACAGCGCAAACAGTCTGTTGAGGACAGGGATACGATGCACAAGGGCTGTGTTGAGGAAACAGCTGCAAGTTCAAATTGTGAGACATTTAAAAATAATAAAAGATACGAAATACTTTCCACTATACTTTGTATAATTTATAAATATTGTACTTGTATAGCTACTGCACATGCATTACCCCAGGTTATCTGTGTGCAACCCATGAAGATCCGGGTTAAAATTGATCTTCAGCAACCCATGCTTGTCGTAAGAGGCGACTAACGATATCGGGTGGTCAGGCTCGCTGACTTGGTTGACACATGTCATCGTATCCCAATTGCAAACAAACAAACAGTATGCTCTCAGCTTCATGGGTTGCTGAAGGCTAGTTCTAACCCGGATCTCAAATCTGCAAGGTTTAAGTGATGTTTTAACTTTGTCCATGTGTTTGAGTGGGTGAGTGAGTTTTACCCCGCTTTTAGCAATATTCCAGTATCAGAAATGGTTTTCACACAGATGTATTTTTGTGTGAATATGTAGTGAATCTACATATGAATGTGGGTCTATCCTATGGAGGTACATACGCAGGCACCCTAATATCAATAACCAATTTTTAACATATTCAAGTGTCTCGTGACATATTTAGCCTTCTGTCATATTTTTGTCAATAAATAATACCGATACAACTATTTATAACAATAAGAAATTGCTCCTAAAGCAGTCAATGTACGACTCAGCAAATATGAGCAAACATTTATGAAGCAATTATAGATGTATATATACAACCCTTTTGAAAGTACAGTGAAACGATATTTTAGTTTTTTATTTCTTTTTACCCAAATATCTATCAAAATTACATGAACTCTCTCGGTCTGATCTTTATTGTGTCACGTGTCCATTTCCCTAATTCAAACGGTAAGATAACCAAAAAATCTGTATGCTAATTACCATGACAATTAATTGTCACTGAAGTTATTGAAAAGCATTTAGAAGTTGGACAAACATGAATACATGACATGTTTTCATGGATAAAAACTCTTTTGATTTTTCATACGACGTTTCAGAACCAATTCTTGCTGCTTCATCCTTCACCTGATGAAGGAGCAAGAATTAGCTCTTAAATAATTAATTAATAATTGTCGCTGGCTTGACTATTGCCCATTCGTGTATTTCTAGACGGTTTACCTGTCCCTTGCTATTTGCAGTTGTTCTGTTTGAGTGATTTGATTAATTACCCAAACTGGTTCATCAAGCAGAGGAGTGTTTCGCTTCAGGGATTATTGTTCCTTCATTACCTTTTGTATTGTCCTCATACATTGAGTCATCAGATCCCTTTGACCTTGCATTTCTACCTATTTTCCTCTAGCTTCCTGGAATAGGTAGTTGTCACCGTTTGTCACCTGTTAACCCACCAGTCATTTTCATGGTTAATGTTGTCTTTTATGTTAATTAAGTAATATGAATTAGACCATAACCTACTCTTTGCAACAAACCATTGGGAGTGAGGGAGTTTAGTTTTACGCCGAAATAGCAATATTACAGCTATATGGCGGCGGTCTGTACATAATCTAGTCTGAGCCAGACAATCCAGTGATCAACATCATGAGCATCGATTTACGTAATTGGGGTACGATGACATGTGTCAACCAAGTCAGCGAGTCTGACCACCCGATCCCGTTAATCGCGTCTTACGACAAGCATTGGTTACTGAAGATCAATTCTAACTCGGACCTTCACGGGTCCCATTGGGATAGAATCTTCAGAGAATAGAATTTGGGCATTATGAATTAGCAGATACTGTCGACGATTCCCATGATAATCTTTCGTTAGACCCGGGTCAGAATTGGTCAATTGACGGTGTAAAAGCGAGTAATGGGATCAATGCTCATGATTTCAATCACGGGATTGTCTGGTCCAGACTCGATTATTTACAAGCTGTCGTCATGTGACTTGTTTGAGTTCCATTTTAGAAGTTGGGAAGTACAATACAAACAAACCTTATGAATAACAACTTGTTTATGTCGTTTGTGCGACGTTTCGATACAGATTCTTATACGGTTTCAAGCAGGAATGAAATATAAAGTTATTGTCCATTAAGTTTGCCTATATCGTTGTCATACGGCTTTCAACATCGTTGAGGGCAGCGTCAAGCAACGAAAACACAAACAATATATTTTATTGGTATTCAAATAATTATCCGTGCTTGCCAAGGGTTATTGTATCAATAGCATCTGCAACGAAACTTGAATTTAACGGTAAAATAAAGAAGTTGTTATTCTTAAACGTTTGTCTTCTTTGTTATCTATCAACTTGTCGGTAATACAATGAAACAATTTACCTCTGTACAAAACCTGTGGGCATTTGTTTACTCATTATTACCTGCTCGGGCATACAAAGCAAATCGTGGCACAAAATGCACGTCAATATAGGTTTTCGTTAATCATTAACTAATTAGTACATAATGACAGTCACGCTGCAGGGAGTGTACCTGTGAGATGTCAACAAATCGAAGTGAATTGTAAAAGTTGTTTTTATTATTCTCTTTTTAACAATTTATTTGCCTCAGTTTGTGTTGATAACGTAAGGCGACAAATACAAGTAAACTTTTCTGTTTAAATCATTTATTGATGTCTGGTTGTAGTTCTGAGCAACGCTTATAGACACGCACTCCTTAACCTGCAGACCCATGCTGATTGTGAACTACATGGCTTAAGTACTTAGTTAAATTAGTTAGAGTGATTGAGTATAGTTTTACGTCGCATTTAGCAATGTTCCATCTATATCACGGCGGGGGACCTCATAAATGGGCTTCACACATTGTACCAAGCTCTTTGGCGTGACGAGCGAACGCTTTAAATTAGTTAGAAAATGGGGGCGGTGGGGTAGCCTAATGGTGGAAGCGTTGGCTCGTCACGTCGAAGACCCGGGTTCGAATCCCCACATGGGTACAATGTGTGAAGCCCATTTCTGGTGTCCCCCGCCGTGATGTTGCTGGAATTTTGCTCAAAGCGGCGTAAAATCAAACTCAGTCAGTCAGTTAGAAAATACGCAGAATTTCATGAATATAGATAATGCTAAAAGTTAAAAGGGGTCATTTGGTACCATAAACTTACTCTTACATTCTATGAGCGAACCGTCCATATAGTCTTCACCAATTAATTAGCTTTTTAAAAACAAATGATTATTAGACTCTGGCAATGATGTTCAATATTTCAATAAAGAATAACCTTATAAGTGACAATAAATATGTTTTGTTCAGTAATGCAGAAGACCTGGTGTGTGGCAGCAACAGTCTCCGAGGGTATAATGTAAGATGGAACTGTCTCCGACACAATCAATCTATATTTCTTCATCCCATGATGACAATCTAATATGTCTTAAATAAGAGACGTAATTTTCTTATAAATACTTTTAAAATAATTGTGAAGTGCTAAATTCCTTATTCACATCCAGACCTTCGAAATCGACTCATGAGTTAACTAATTTCGGAAGACAACTCGTGATCTTGAGTAAATTCAACACTAATTATCTGAGGCTGAAAGCAATTATTCCTTTTAGACCGCAGCCTTAAAGCAGTTCATCAATTTTATATACATGTAGTCACAGATAAATACTACGGTTACGCTTTGATAGTCCGTTTCACATCATGATGTAAGTGGGGCGGTGGGGTAGCCTAGTGGTTGAAAACACACACACACACACACACACACACACACACGCATGTCATGTACAAAATCACCCACCCCCCCTAATTTTTAAGCATTATTTTTTAATATCTTTATGTACAAAATTGCTGACCCTCTAGTACATGTGTTCAAAATTGATGACCCCCAACCTTTCAATGGGTGACCCCTCCTTAAAATCATCATCATCATCCCGCCTAGCCATACAGAACGGTCCCTTAGAAAGAGAGAACTCTACATAACATGGTATGAATGATTTAGCAGTCGTCCATGTCATATGTATGACAGCTGGCGTTGTTTTGGGGGTTTTTTTTGGCTGTACGTTTCTTTCACCATCTACGACAATGGATAGGCGGTATTACATTATATGAAAATTACACAAATTAATCACAGAAAAAACAGTGACGACACCCGGGGTTCGGATAAAGACCAACATTTTATTAACACCATATCAGCCCCCAAAAGGAGCTAGGCCGGAGGTGCTGAATACCATTCACTTCACTATTGTATGTACAGGGAAATCTCGAACACCCGGTGTCAAGAAAAAAACTTTCTCGATTTGTATTGCGACATATATTGGGATATACATAGACAAAGTTCTCTACCACAATTGATCTTCAGCAACCCATACCTGTCGCAAAAGGCGATCAGGTAGTCAGGCTTGCTGACTTGGTTGACACATGTCATCGTATCTCAGTTGTGTTGACCGATGCTCACGCTGTTGATCACTTGATGAACAGGTCCAGACTCGATTATATACAGACAGCCGCCATACAGGTGGCATATTGCTGAGTGAGACGTTAAAAAACCAACCAGCCAACCAACTATACCACATATATATGAGTTTGTTCAAAATTGTCTCTGTTCACCCAGCAGGAAAATGGGTACCCGGTGGAAAAAAGTCATATGACTATAACCTTCTAGCGCCTAACAGGCAGCTTGGGTTATCCGGGGTAATAATGTGCTGTGCCTTGATTGTTAGCGCTATGAGCATACCTAGTGTGGAGATTGGCGCTATATAAATGGACACATTATTATTATTATTATTATATCTCTAACAACCATTGGAATGAATTATTTTAAATTGTTTATCGAAACAAACAAACAAGCAAACAAACAAACAAAATGTTAAATTTCCCCGTATTAACAAAATGTCATGAACACTGACAGAAATTTCAGTGCTAATATGTTCCCATCATGTTTTCATATAACATGAACAATGTTCTGGAATGTTTAGACAAGGAATGACATTGTGACATTGATTGTATGAAGGTTCATGGTGCACATATTTCAGTGGCTGAACAGCGACTCATTCCCCTGTGAACCCCAGCCTTCGTGTGGTGGGTTTGAACGGTACTAGAACATTCATTAGGTGGAATCGGCGAGACGTGTTTTTAACGTC